TGTAAGGGGGCCAAAACAGCATACATTATTCAAAATGTGATCTGACCAAGACTCTATACAATTGAAGCAAAGCTTCACTATCCCTGCATTGTCATCCTATTGTGATAAGGACTAATGTTTCATTTGTCTTCCTAATCGCTTATTGCACCTGCATGTTAGCCTCCAGTGATTTATTGATGAAGGCATCCAGGCTCCTTTGTGCATCTACACTTGCTAATCTCTTATCACTTAAGAAAAACTGTGCTCATCTGTTTCTGCTACTAGGGTAGATAAGTTCACATGTTTTGACATTATATTCCATCTGACCACTAACTAAGTCTGTTCAAATCCTCCTTAAACTGATTTGCATCTTCCTCACAGCGTACATTCCCACCCAGCTTTGTGCCATTCATAAACTTACAAATATTATATTTGGTCCCCATATCTAACTCATTGATATACATTATGAACAGTTGGGGCCCAAGTACAGATCCTTGAGATATACCACTAATCACAACCTACCAATGTGAGAATGACCCGTTTATTCCTACACTCTGTTTTTTGCCTGTTAGTCAATCCTTAATCTCTGCAAGTATATTACCTCCTATCCCATGTGTTTAATTTTGTTAATAAGCTTCTGTGGAGAACTTTCTCAAAAGCATTCTGGAAATACATATATATTATGTCCACTGACTCCCCTTTATCAATCCTGTACATATACCAAAAAAACTTCACCATTTTTGTCAAACAATATTTTCCATTCCCAAATCTATGCTTGCTATGGCTAATCAGATCATTGTTGTACAAGTGTCCTTTTTTTTATTTGTTCATTGAATGTGTGTTGCTGGCTAGGCCAGCACTTATTGCCCAGAGGACAGTTAAGAGTCAATCATATTATTGTGGGCCTGGAGTCACATGTAGACCAGACCAGATAAGGACAACAGATTCCCTTACCTAAAAGACATTAGTGAACCGGTTGGTATTTTATGGAAGGTGGTTACACAGTCGCCATTTAGTTACTTGTTGTTCCAGATTATCATAGAATCCCCACAGTGCGGAAAGAAGCCATTCAGTTCATTGAGTCTGCATCACAGCCAGACTCAGCACCCCCATCTGATCCCCATACAGTCAGTGCTGATATAACACGTGTTTCTTCAACCCAAATTGGTTTTAACGCAATTGAAGAATTATAGAATGCTATTTGCAGAACGCAAACTTTCCCTAACTGTATTGGCTACAATGCGATTCCGTCCCCATCATTTTAAATGTCGCAGTTATCGCACGATTTTCTTATAACGCAAGATCGCGCAAGAATGGAACTGTCACATTATATCAGAACTGACTGTTTTTACCATGACCATCCACCTAACCTGCGTACCTTTGGACTGTGGGAGGAAACCCATGCAGACACAGGGAGAACATGCAAGATCCACCCAGACAGTCACCCAAGGCTGGAATCAAACCTGGGTCCCTAGCGCTGTGAGGCAGCAGTGCTAACCACTGAGCCACTGTACCACCTGATTTATATTGACTTCAGGTATCACTAACTACCATGGTGTACTTCAATTCCATAACCCCAGAACATTAGTCATTACCACCACACCCTGCCACTCCATTTATCACATCCTCAATAGTAAAGTCTAGCATTTTCCCTGCTACTGATACAAGGCTAAAAGGTCTGTTGTTCACAGTCTGTCCCCCTCCCCCAGCCTGTAAATATTTATTCTCTTCCAATCTGCAGGAACCATTTCAAAATCAATGGAATTTAATGATAATTACCAATGCACCTACCATCTCCAGAGCTAATTCTATCAGCACCCCGGAATGTGAAATATTAAGTCCTGGGTATTTATCAATCTTGTCCAGTCCCATTAGTTTCTCTCACATTACCTTCTTACTAATACTAATTTCTTTCAGTTCCTCATTCTCCATAATCTCTTGGATCTCTAATTCTGCAAGATTTCTTGTATCTTGCACAGTGACGACAGACACAAAGTAATAACTATACATTTTTGTCATTTCTCTATTCCTCATTATAAATAACCCTGACTCTGCCTGTAACAGACCCACATTTGTGTTAGTGAAATTTTCCTTTATAACATACCTAATACAGCTTTACAGTCTGTTCTATGTTTTTCCCTAGTTATTTTATATTTATTGAAGTTGACTTGGTAAACAAGCATTATTTCTGAAAGCCTGTACTCCAAGCAGAGAGTATGCTGATTAAATCAGGAATTAGTTAATTGATGATAAAGTCTGAATGTGTTAATTTACTAAGTTAGATTTGTCCTGCTATTTGTAATTTGGATAATCTTCCATATAATTGGTTGGATACCAGATTCATCAGGGCTGAAGTCTCAGAGAAAATTCAAAGAACTTTCAAGGCATCAAATGAGACCATCCAAAAAATGCTTTAAAAATGGGTATTTAGCCTACTACAAAGATGCATAAAGAATAGGAAGATCTAGATAAGGTGAGAAGGTGTAATGGGAAGACAGTGGTTCGCCAACATGGTAATTGAACTGTTAAGTTTCATTTATTGTGGCTAACTAGGGTTGACCACAAACTTTCAGAATTTGAGAGGTTAACGGAAGGTGATGAGACACGCTCTACCTTACATATCCATGTTTTTGACAGTTCTCAGGAGCAAAAAATGGGTAACAGTAGCAACATGGGTGCAAATTGGCTAGGAACAGACAATAATGGTTAACAAGTTTTTTTTGGGCTGGAACAATATTGGTAGTGGAGTTGCTCAGGAGTTGGTATTGGGAGCATTGCTTTTCCTGTTAATTATGAATGATCTAGATCTTGGTGCATAGAACACAATTTCAAAGTTTGTGGATGACCCAAAACTCGGGAGAATTGTAAGCTGTGGAGGACAGTGTGGAACTTTAAAAATATTTACACCTTGGTGGAGTGGGCGAACACATTGACAAATGAAGTTCAGTGCGAAGAAATATCAGACGATGCACTTTGGTATAAAGAACATGGAGAGATGATTCAAAATAAAAGGTACTATTCTAAAGGATGTGCAGGAACAGAGAGACCTGAGAGTATATGTATGTAAGTCATTAAAGGTGGCAGAACAAGTGGAGAGCGCTGTTAATAAAGTATACTTGCCGAAGAAGCAAATTCAGAATGAGCCATGTCATGCAAATCCCATGATGATTTAATCTTCCCTGAATCTGGCCTTCCTTGACAGCCTGTCATGAAAATCTGTGTAGCCAATTCAAAATAGTTTATTAATATGAATCCATTCTGAATTGAAAGTCATTTCCCAAAAGTCCTTAACATGCCAATGCTCTTAAAATATTGTCATTGTCTTAACACTCATGGATGATGGATTTTAACGAACTGGGAGTGTCAAATAGTAGCCTGTTTAGCCTTAGAAAAGATTACATTTATAAGAGAAGATATCCACGTATTACCATTGGTATCTAGCTGATTGATGTACATCGTATATTGTTTACATTTTAACTGGAAGTACACTGACAGGTTTTCTAGATTACACAGAAAACATTGTTGCATGTATGATGTTTCTAAAATAGTTATGCTTTAGGACTATCTGCTTAATTTCAGAGAAAATTGTGCAGTGACAGGGATCATGTTCTGAATTCTGCCTTGCAACAAACTTAGGTGTTTTGGATTGAAGGGTAATTCACGTTGTCTTACTGGGAAGAAGGTGTGAGGTATCTTCACCTTCTTCGGCAGTCCGTTAGGATTGGGGATGATTTTCTTCCCCTTTGATCTTGTGAGTTCCAACACTAGATCCATATACCCTGCTGCAGGTGGAGGATGTGGTGTTGGTGAACCAGATGGATGAAACACTCAGATTTTCACATTTTCCTTCCACTGCTTGCACTTGGCTTCAACCTGCACTTGTTGGAGACACTTAAAATGGTTGGCTCCTTTGTGGATGCTTCTTCTCCAGTTCAGGCAGTCTTGAGCAAAAGATTTCCACAAGTCAGTGAGGATATGCATTTTGTAGGTAATGACCAGCTAGGCTGACTATGCAAAGACTGTTCGTCTCAAAGTTATAGGGAAATGTTAGGATAGATTTTGCTGATGATTATAATTTAAGCTGTCCATTTAGTTCCATGATGGAAGATAAAGGTAAGAAGGTAAGGTAATTATTCTGCATTTGTATCTTGATAGAAGGTGCTTCATGTTCCATGTAAATGGGCATTGAGAAGGAAATGGATCATTGAAATCCACTGTATTATTAATTTTCTTAAGATATTATTGAAACTCACAGACAGATCAGCCTGCTAGAATATGGGAGATAGCATCACAGAAACGCTGAATTGTTCCAGTGCAGAGGGAGGCTATTCACCCATTCTGTCTACATTGGTGGTCTGAACATTTTAACTTCTTGCCACTCTCCTACCATTTCCCCACAACCCCACACATTGTTTCTGTTTAATTAATCATCCATTGCCCTTTTGAATGCCTCAATTGCACCTGCCTCCATCAGACTTTCAGGTTGAACAGTCCATACCCTAACTGCACACTAATTGGTAACTCTTATGATTTTTGGCTAAGTGTCAATTTCAATGAGTTTCTTGGAGGGTTTCTCTCAACCTCATCTTACCAAACTTGCCTCATAAAAAAAATGAAAATGAAAACAAAACACTAGAAATCCAGCATCAGTTGAGAGATAAACAATTACAATTTCAGGCTGATGATAAACTCTTATTCTTTTATGGCAGCATTAACAAAAACAAAGTGGTTTATTTGAAGCAGAGTTATTTGTGCGAATACTGCGTTGCAAATGTAAGTCATATTGGGTAACAATTAGTTCATACAGAATGGATTTACACTTCCACTTTAATGAGCTCTCGGATGGTTTTCAACACAGTGTTTTGTTAATTTCGTTCTCACATGCTGTTGGGACATATTAACTCCCATCCTGTGTGCTGTTGTTCTCCTTTGCTGTTTAAGTAATTTGTTTCTTAATGAGTTTATAATGCTAACATGGCCCATTAATCTTCAAATGTCTTTAAATTGTGCCCTCAATGCAGGAAATGTTTGAGTCCAATGAAAGGTTGAAATTACAAACCAAAGAACTTAAAGATGCCCATAGTCAGCGTAAACTGGCCATGCAGGAATTCTCAGATATGAATGAGAAGGTCACAGAACTGCGTTCCCAGAAACAAAGGCTTTCCCGACAGCTCCGGGACAAAGAGGAGGAGATGGAAGTAATAATGCAGAAGACTGAGAGTTTGCGCCAAGATCTACGGAGAATGGAGCGAGCCAAAAAAGAGGTATGTTTAATTTTCAATTTTGGGTCAGGATTGTGGTCAAGTTGTTGATTTTGGCAGCAGTTGCTTTTCATTTAACATTCCACTGCTATTGTTTAGGAGCCACAAGAGCAATGTTTTGTGGCGGACACTAGAAGTTAAGAGCGTAAGGAAACAGAAGATTTTGTGTGGTATTGCAGCACTGAGAACTGTTCTCTGCCCACGATTAGAAGATAGGAAATAGAGGCAGGACTAGGTCAATTGACCTCTCAGGTTCGGCCCACCATTCCAGGCTGTGTGTAAATTAAGTTCCCAATGACTACTCATTTGTCCTCGCTTCATCCAGCTCTAATTTTCAGCTCTGATTTATACCTTGCCCTACATTATCACTACAGATTTGGTGGCCTTTTAAATAATGCCTATCAATGTCTGCTGACACTTTTTGTCTTGCAGCTGTACCAAAACTGATTCTTCATCTTGACCTTCCAATCTAAGGTCCTCTTGAACTACTGTTCTGATCTCATCCTTTATTCACTGTTTTATCCCAATCCTGTCATTTTTTGTCTATCTTCCTGAAATGTCAAATACCTTGCCTTTACTTCTGTACATTTATTTTAGCAATCTGCTATGCTTATCTGCAAATATGATGTACTCTGAGGCAGTGGCTTAAACATGCAAAAAAAGGTCCAGTTCCTTGGTAGCTGCAAGAGTGAGTAAGGTTTCTTCTGCTCACCAGGGTTTTGAATGTTACAAGGAGGACATGTGAATTATGATGTTGCTGTGATTTATCCATTTATCTGTTAATTCCCTTACCTCCTTTCACAGACACTGAATCTGAAATATGATTACATCAATGAATAAAGGGGATGTTGGTTACTTGATCGATTGATTGATTTTTACTGCCATGTGTACCGAAATACAGTGAAAAGCTTTGTTCACGAGTGGTACAAGCAGCTCACAGCAAGCAAAGGATGTACAGATCAAAAAGACTGTGAGGCATACAGGTTACATTGCAAGTTACATTATTTGAGGCTAGAGTCCATTCAACAGTCTGATAACGGCCGGAAAGAAGCTGTTCCTGAATCTGCTTGTACATGTGTTCAGGCTTCTGTATGTTCTGCCTGATGGAAGAGGCTGTCGGAGGTATTACCAGGGTGTGATGGGTCTTTGATGATACTGGCCACCTTACCGCGGCAGCGAGCCATGTAAATAGAGTCCATGGATGGAAGGTTGGCTTCCGTGATGGTCTGGGCTGTGCACACCACCTTCTGTAGTTTCTTACGGTCCTGGGCAGAGCAGTTGCCATACCAGGCTGTTATGCACCTGGACAGTACGCTTTCAACGATGCATCTGTGGAAGTTGGTGAGGGACCTTATGGACATGCCAAATTTCCTGAGCCACCTGAGGAAGAAGAGGAGTTGTTGTGCCTTCTAGACTGTCGCATTTACATGGGAAGTCCAGGACAGGTCGTCAGTTATCGTCAGTCTGAGGAACTTGATGCTCTTAACCCTGTCAACCTCAGTTCCATTGATGTAGATGGGGCGTGTTCTCCTCCTTTCTTTCTGAAGTCAATGATCAGTTCTTTAGTTTTGCCAATGTTGAGAGAGAGATTGTTTTCATGGCACCAAGTCCCCAAGCCCTCTATCCTCCTTTAGTATTTTGACTCATTGTTGTTAGACACCATGATTAGAAATTGAGGAATAGGAAAGAGAGCGCTTGACTTCACATGTACCCCTTCTAAAACTTAAACCCGTGCTAACTTAAGGAATTCTTTCCACAAGTTATGCTGTTAATCTTTATTGCTACCAGAAACGTAGACATATTTTGTACTCGTAGAATATATCAGACCTGAAAATCTCCTGCAATGTTCTCAGGTGTGAGTCATCAGTCATTTGTGGAACATACTTTTTTAATAATTTTTGGGAAGGAGAGAGAGAAAAACATACGCATTATTTGACTTGTTCTCACACCTCGTTTTAAGTAAAGAAGAATGGCATTAAATTTTGTTGTTTTGTGACTAAAAGTAGGAGAAGAGCATTTGTATACAGTACTTACTATGTAATGATGGGACTGTTCAGAATTTAACAATATTGTACAAATGATCCAGTAGTTTGTAACTGGAATCCATTTGGAATCCTGATAAAACTATGTAACATTATTCAACAGGTTCTAAGGCCACTTATCTATTGCAACACTCTGTTATGATCTTAACTGATGATAATACTAAACAAATCAGATCCAAAAAAGAAACTTAGCTTGATAAATCATAGATTTAAATTTTGCAGTTGGTTAGTATTAGTCTCTGAAGCATATTTACACGACGCTGCAGATAATCTTTAACAACAGAATATTGTTCATTATACAAGAATAATAATCAAAGATCTATACTTATATATACAGAATCATGGGAAGGTACAGCATGGAGACAGACCCTTCAGGCCAATTCGTCTATGCCAACCAGATATCCTAAATTAATCTAGTCCCATTTGCCCGCATTTGGCCCATATCCCTCTCAACCCTTCCTATTCATTTACTCATCCAGATGCTTTTTAAATGTTGTAATTGTACCAGCCTCCACCACCTCCTCTGGTAGCTCATTCTATACACGCACCACCCTCTGGGCAAAAACGTTGCTGTTAGGTCCCTTTTAAATCTTTCCCTTCTTATCTTAAACCTATGCCCTCTAGTTTTGGACTCCCCTACCCTAGGGAAAAGACCTTGGCTATTCATCCTATCCATGCCCCTCATGATTTTATAAACTTCTATAAGGTCACCCCTCAGCCTCCGACACCCCAGGAAATATAGCCCTGGGCTATTCAGTCTCTTCATATAGCTCAAACCTTCCAACCTTCGCAATATCCTTGTAAATCTTTTCTGAACCTTTTCAAGTTTCACAACGTCTTTCCTATAGCAGGGAGACCAGAATTGAACTCATTATTCCAGCAATGGCCTAGCCAATATCCTGTACGGCTGCAACACGACCTCCCAGCTCATATACTCAATGCACTGACCAATAAAGGCAAGCATACCAAATGCTTTCTTCACTATCCTGTCTACCTGTGACTCCACTTTCAAGAATCTATGAAAGTGTAACCCAAGGTCTCTTTGTTTGGCAGCATTCCCTGGCACCTTATCATTAAGTATATAAGTTCTGCCTTGACTTGCCTTTCCAAAATGCAATACCTTGCACTTATCTAGATTAACCTCTATCTGCCACTCCAGCGCATTGGCCCATCTGATCAAGATCCCATTGTACTCTGAGGTAATCTTCTTGGCTGTCCACTACACCATCAATTTTGGTGTCATCTGCAAATTTACTAACCATACTTCCTGCAGTCACACCCGGACATATAAATGACAAAAACCAGTGATCATAATTCTACTGGTTTTAAAATAGTGATGGAATAGGGTATTTCTGATCTAAAAGTTAAAGTTCTAAATTGGAGAAAGGTTAATTTTGACGATGTTAGGCAATAACTTTCAAAAATTGATTCGGGGCGGATATTTGCAGGTAAAGGGACAACAGAAAATGGGATGTCTTCAAAAATGAGATAATGAGAGTCCAGCAACAGTACGTACTTGTTAGGTTGAAGGGTAAGGCTGGTAGGTGTAGGGAATGCTGGGTGACTAGAGAAATTGAGGTTCTGGTCAAGATAAAGAAGGAAACATATGTCAGGTGTAGACAGCAGTGATTGAGTGAGTCCCACGATGTCTGTAAGGGCAGAAGGAGTATACTTAAGAAGGAAATCGGGAGGGGAAGAAAGGGCACATGAGATAGCTTTGGCAAATAGGTTTAAGGACAATCCAAATAAATTAAGGACAAAAGAGTAACTAGGGAGAGGATAGGGTCCCTTAAAGATCAGCAAGGCTGCCTATGTATGGAGCCTCTGGAGATGGGGGAGATACTAAACGAGTATTTTGCATGTGTTTACTGTGGAGAAGGATATGGAAGCTAGAGAACTTGGGGAAATAAATAGCGATATCTTGAAAAGTGCCCATATTACAGAGGGAGGAGGTGCTGGACATCTTAAGATGCATAAAAATGCACAGAACTTTGTGGGAAGCTAGTGAAGTGATTGCTGTGTAAGACAGTTAGAAAATTCTGAATATAAACAGCTCTGTTCCTGTACACTATTGTTTAAGAGATATGAGATTCTTTTTCAAGTTCTCTTAGCTAGAAAATCCACAAATCTAAAGCGCTTCAGCTATGGTGAGACATTACCTCTGCTTTCTCTCCACAGATGCTGGTTCCCTGAACTAAATATTTGACTCTTTTACTAGGAGAAACTGTTCTCCCTTTAGAACTAAACTCTTGATTCTTCTGCATTGAACTAAACACTAAAACTATGACTTTTTAGTCTTTTGTAATCGCAGCAGTATACATATTCCATCCATTAACACTGCCAAGCATCAAGTTTTTTTTTGGAAATCGATGCACTTCAGTCACTGTTTCAAATGACTTCCTGACCTGATTTTTAAAACTACCTTCACAAAATTGACCCACATCCATATACCTCAGTTTTAATATCCAAATCCCAAATACAATATGTATATGTTATTACATCTTCCAGCACAATTCCCCCAGATTCCAAGTTTTGGATATTCCCATACACCACTCACTTCCTTTCATAAATTGGCCCCATGTCAGCTGACCCTTTTCAGTTCTTCTTTATCAGTTGTATAAACCTTGACTTCACACCCATTGGAGAATCCACTGTTTCGGTTCTTTCAGAGATCTCTCCTACTATACCTGGGGGCCAGAGTTTCTAGTGAGTGGCAATCCCATGCAGATTGCCCTCTTGGCATTCTTTTATCTGGAGGAAGGGAACTCTGCATTTCTGAGAGAGATTCCACTTGGGTCTTTTGTAGCATAGAATTGTCAGAGGAGGGCAATCCTGTCCTATTTTCACAGCAGTCAGCTGCTGTAACTTGAAATTTAAAGGTCCTGACTTTGATACTTTGATACCTGCCGTAAAAATGCAAACACCCAAGTTAAGAATGATGTTCAGGTGCTGTATAGGTTGCATACCAGATGGATTGGATAGAGGGCCACGGAAGTAGGATGTGAGCTCAGGACGGAGTAGGACGCCAGGTGCATGGGGTGCTAACTGGGTATTGTGCCAATAAGGTGAGGTGCCAGCTGGACAGGGTACCAGCTCGGGTATGGGTAGGGCTGAAGAAATTTGGTCTGGTGGGGTCTGACAGTGAGATTATGGGAGGAGGTGGGCCTCAGATCTGGTGGAGGCAGAATCTGATGAGGTTGCACTGGGTCCAGTTGGAGTCTCAGTTGGTCTGATCTGGTGCAGGGTTTCAGTGTGTCGGGTCCAGCAGGGATCTTGGTGGGTAGAGTCTCCAGTGAGTCAGGTCTGGCAGTGGCAGGATTTGGTCTGGCAGATGGACCATTTGGGTTCTGGGCATAGAAGAATTGGCCAATGGAAAATCCAATTTCCCACAATGGGGACTCCACAGGGTCCTAATGTGCAACTCCCATCTACGCTGCAGTTACAACTGTCTGGCCAGTGGAAAAAAAACACTGGGTTTTAATCCCCAATTCCCATTGCTTCAGTATTTGTAGAAGTCTTTCATTCAGAACTTTATTCAGGACTTTTGGAAATTTAATCCTGAATGCGGAATATTACTGAAATTCCTTTGAAGGATTTGATGGTTTGGCGGTTCTATTGTAAAGTTGGTTTAATCCTGGCTGCTATGGAAATTGAGTATTATTCATAGTATATATTTCTCCCAACCAGTTGGATGTGCAGATGGAAAAATCAGCAGCAGAGGCATCCAAGGAGCGAAAACTGCGGGAACGGAGTGAGCAGTACACAAAGCAACTGGAAGATGAACTTGAGGGGCTCAAGGTGAGAGGCTGATATGAAAATTAAGAAACAGGTTCAATTCCTTGCATTGGTTTGTTTTTGGTTCTGTTGGTAATAGAGATTATGGATGAGAGATCAAGTGATAACTCAACATTTTCCAGAAATATGATAGAATATGACAATTCAAGGTAGATGTTAATGAATTGCAGAATAACACTGACATAGGTCTCGAGGAAAGGTGTTCATCACTTTTGGTGGAGTAGAGTAAGATTGAGGGACTGAACAACAAAAGAGAGAATATCTGTCACTGTTTTGTTTGGAATCATAATTTAAAGAATTGACAGTGCATTACTGACCAGGCTGGTTGAGTCCTAAAGGACGTTACTGGGTCTGGAGCAGGAAACAACAAGAGTGAAAATCATACTTGGCCTCTTCTTCACCAAGCTACCTGCTGAAGATGTATCTGTCCGTGTCAGTATTGGTAAGAGTGACCACCTCACAATGCTTGTGGAGATGAAGACTCTTCTTCATGTACCCTCTAGCATGATGTGTGGTAATAGTCACCATGCTAAGTGGCAGTAGATTTCAAACAGATCCAGCAGCTCAAGACTGGACTCCATGAGATATTGTTGGCCGTCTGCGGTGTTATACTCAAACACAATCTATGACCTCATGGATTGATATATCCCCACTCTATGATTACTATCAAGTCAAATGATCAACTCTGGTTCAGTGGAAATTGCAGCAGGGCATGCAAGGAGCAGCTCCAGGCATACCTAAATGGGAGGTGTCAACCTGGTGAAGTTACCAAACAGAACTACTTGAATGCCAAAAAGCATAAGCAGCATGTGATAGACAGAGCTAAGCAATGCCAAAACAGAAAGATCAGATCTAAATTCTGCAGTCCTGCATTCAGTCTTGAATGGTTGTGAACAATTAAACAACTGACTTGCAAAGGAGGCCCCAGACGGGGGAAAGAAAAGTTTCATCTCCTAAGACTGAACTGGTTGTTGGTGATTTTGGTTTGATAACTAAAATTAATAAAACTTAAAATGAAGTGGTGTATCTAATATTAGTCGTGATATAATCAGCAGTGTTGAATTATTTTGACATTGGGCAGTATGAGAACTGTGTTCTTATGTCTCTAAATATTTTTAACAGAAAAGGCAGGTTGGACGTTCCCCTGGCGTGAGCAGTACAGAGCATCAGCAGGAAGTGGCCAAGCTCAAAGCTGATCTGGAGAAAAAGATTGTGTTCTATGAGGAGGAGCTGGCCAAAAGGGAAATCCTGCACATGACTGAGATCAAGAACTTGAAGAAGGAACTGCGAGATGCAGAGGGACAGCATCTGACCCTGAAGAAAGAAATAATGATTCTGAAAGACAAGTTAGAAAAAACCAGAAGAGAAAGGTAGGATTCAGGTTCAATTCACTTTCTGTCTGAATTAAAAACTGCAGAAGGGCCTGGCTCCTGAATCAGCCGAGGACATTTGCTCAGTTCCTGTGGAGATCTCCATGAGGTTGAGAAGGAACACAAGTTTAGTTATGTAACACATTTCACATCTCAAACTGATACATTGGCCTTGAATGACTTTTTGAGGTGCAGTTAGTATCAAAGTATGAATCAATCAAAACCAGCTCATCTGGACAGGACATGCCATTTGTGTACCTGACAGTAGACTCCTAAAGCAGCTGCTCTACTGGGATCTCCTCCATCTGCAGAATTTTACTTTTGCTGTACTGGGAACATGATCATGACAGGAGACTTCCAGGAGGATAGCAGAAATACTTGAGGGATCTCCTGAAAGCAATCCTGCATGAGTCAAACATCCTGCTGACTGTTGGGATGACCCTGGTTTGTGACTGCCCAGAATGGAGATGGCTGATTCTGACTCAATAGGTGTGAAACTGGAAAAGCACAGCAGGTCAGACAGCATCCGAGGAGCAGGAAAGTCAACATTTCAGGCCGAAACCTTTCGCCAGGACTGGGGAAAGGGAGGGGAGCCCAGAAGTAAATAGGAGTTGGGGCTGGAGGGAGGGCAGGTGGGATGGTGATAGTGGATGCAGGTAAGAGGTTATGATTGGCCACTGGGAAGGGTGGAATGGATAGTTGAGTAGGAAGATGGACAGTTTAGGTCAGGTCAGGGAGGCAAGGAGGAGGGGTTGGGTTGGACATGAATAAGGCTGGGAGTGGAGGGATTTTGATGCTGGTGAAGGCAGTATACAGCCCAATGGCCTCTATATTGACTTCACCATCTTCAAAATCCCTCCACCCCCAGTTTTATCCCATGTCCATGCCCTCCCCTCTTCCCTTCCTCCCTGAGTTGACCTAACCTGTCCATCTTCCTACCCACCTATCCGTTCCACCCTTCCCACTGACCAATGACAATGACCCCCTGCCTGCATCCACCTATCTCAATCTCATCTCCGCCCCCAGACCTATCCCCCTCCATCTACTTATTTTTGGCTCCCCTCCCCCTCCCCAGTCCTGACAAAGGGTTTCGGCCCAAAATGTTGACTTTCCTGCTCCTTGGATGCTATCTGATCTGCTGTGCTTTTCCAGCTTGACATCTATTGAACCTGGCTTCCAGCATCTGCAATCCTTACTATCTTCAAGTGGCTGATTCTGGCAGTTGTCTGGGAAACACATAAACCTCTAATCAACCCACCTACTCAACACTAACAACTACCACCTGCCCCACATGTGTCAGAACCTGCAAACCATGCAATATACTTAACAGTCAACTCAGAACCCATCAAAATAGCAATGGGTCATCTTTGGTCCCAGTGGCCATTGAATCATCCCTGATATTGTATGTTTTCATTGAGTGAAGTGCATGAAATCAATGTCTATCTTATTCTTAGATAATCTTCAGTTTTGAGATTTTAAATTTTGCTTGTTGTTCTCATTGGAACTGTTTGTGTGAACCAGTCAGAATAATTTATAACATGCTATGGGGTATGGAGTTGTCGATATAAGGTGTTACTCAGTAATCAATAATGTTTCACTGACATTGTTCATTCATTGTTAAAAGTCTAATGGCTATACTGCATCTTGATATGTTCTGATGTAATTTATGATTTACGTTTTATTTCTGTTAAGCAAAAATCCTCTGTGTGGACGTTCAAAGTTCTAAATTAGTTGTAACTTCATGAATCATTTGATTTATGTCAGTGCAGTTCACAACGGGTGGTATGCTGATATTCAGAATAGGGTGGTGATATTACTGAAATTGTGGTGATATTTCTTCAGATTTCGATACCATAGAATCATAGAATAAACAACACAGAAGGAGGTAATTTAGCCTATCATGCCATTTCTGGTTCTTTGGCTATTCACTTCCTCTGTTCTTATCCTGTAGCCCTTTAAATAATTCCCCTTCAAGCATTTATCCAGTTCTTTTGAGTAAGAATAAAGTTCTACATAAAATCACTCTTGTACACCAATAAATATATTCATTATGAGGATGAGGATAATACAATATCAGGGATCAATTGACTGTAGGATGGCAGTTATTTTCTAAGGTTTTATGTCAGTACTCAGAGAAAAATTAACTAGTTTCTTCGGACAGAGAATTAATTTAAAAGTAGTAGAAATATGAGAATCTCAGAGTAATGAGTTATCTGGGACATGAAAAGGTAAATTCACCTATGGTATCTGATAGATTTTTAGACTTGAGAAGAGATTGTGGTTTTATGGGGTTACAGATTTTCACAGGACATTATTGTTATAGCTTATCAGGGTAGTGGTTTAGATATGAAGTCTTATTACAGGCAAGCATGCATTGGAAATTCAAGGCTACAATGGTGGAGTAATTGTGCTGCTGCTATGGTTGCAGACAACAAGGCTTTGTGCTGGGAAACTTCAAAGTGTAAGTGAAACTTCCCAATGTATTTGAGCTATGGTACCCACCTTGTAGAGTCTGGTCGTAGTTCACACTGTAGTTCATATAAAATATACACTACCCATATCAACAACAAGTTGCATTTACATTGCACGTTTATCAGAGTAAAATCTCCAATAATACTTCATGGGAGCAATGTTATCACAATGTTATTTGATATTAAGTGTATTAGGAGGCGAGGAGAAGGGACCAAGTACTTGGTCAAATACTTGTTTTCAGGAACAACTTTGACAAGAGGGAAGTAGAGATAGAGTTGCTGACGGAGGGAATTCCAGAGCTTTGTGCTTCACCAGCTGAAGTCACAGCTATCAATGATGAAGCAATTAAGAAATAGGCGTGAAGCTAGAATTGGAGCTGTGCTGGATCTCTGTGTTGTTGTACAACCAAATAAGCGCTTTTGTTGCATTGTCCATTCCCTAACCAGGAGTGCACACACATTTAAACTGGCCATGGAGGTTTAATACGTTTGACAAGGTTCAGCATGATAGACGTAATAGTAAAGTTAGATCACATGGGATTCAGGGAGAGCTTGCCAATTGGATGCAAAATTAGCTTCACTGGGTACTGGGTCTGCTTTTGTTTGCCATTTATATGAGCAATTTGGATGAGAATATTGGAGGCATGGTTAGTAAGTTTGCAGATGACACTAAATTGGCAGTATGGTGTACAGTGAAGAAGGTTATCTAAGATTACAAAGAGATATTGATCAATTGGGTCAATACACTGAGGAGTGGCGGATGGAGTTTACTTTGGATAAATGCAAGGTATTGCGTTTTAGTAAAACAAATAAGGGCAGGACTTATACAATTGATGGTAGGGTCCTGGGTAGCATTGTAGAACAGTGACCTAGGGGTTCAAGTATATAATTCTTTGAAATTTGCATCATAGGTAGACAGAGCTGTTAAGGCATTTAGCACAGATTGTTGAGAGTTCGGTTGTCATGTTGAGGTCGTACAAGACGTTGGTAACGCTTCTTCTGGAGTACTGTGTGCAGTTCTGATCGCCCTGCTATAGGAAGGATATTATTAAATTGGAGAAGGTTCAGCAAAGATTTACCAGGATGTTGCCGAGAAAGGAGGGTTTGAGTTGTAAGGAGAGGCTGGATAGGCTGGGACTTCTTTCACTGAAGCGTAGGAAGTTGAGGGGTGACCTTATGGAGGCTTATAAAATCATGACGGATTTAGGTAGGGTGAATAGCGAGGGTCTTTTCCCTAGGGTGGGGAAGTTCAAAACTAGAGGGCATATTTTTATGGTGAGAGGAGAATGTTTAAAAAAGGACATGAGGGACAACTTTTTTACACAATGTGGTACGTGTGTGGAGTAACCTGCCAGAGGAAGTGGTGGATGCGGGTACAGTTCCAGTATTTAAAAGACATTTGGATAAGTTCATGAATAGGAAAGGTATGGAAGGGTACAGGCCAAACGCAGGCAGGTGGGACTACTTTATTTTGGGAATATGGTCGGTGTGGACTAGTTGGACTGAAAAGTCTGTTTCCAATGCTGCATGACTCTGTGACTCTGAAAGCCATAAGTTGACACTTCTTCCATGCTAGAAAAATGTCCTGCTTCTGCTGTTTAGTAAACTCCCAGGTATCTGGCAAGCAAGGGGAATATGGGGTGCCAGTTACATGAATCTATGAATCTGCTGGTTGCAGCCAGAACTGCCTGTAATTAGCATCAGTGAAGTTTGATGAAAGGGAGAGAGAGAGAGAGAGATAGGACCAAACAGTCAGTTCCCAGGGAGAGGAAGCCTAGCTCCTCGATTCTGGATGTGGAGAATTGGATAACGGGGACTTTACTGTAGGTTGAGATTGAGAAGTCTCTGTTTTTGAAAAGGAAAGTTGGACTCATTTTCCAGGATTTTGGTCTGCAGTGCACTGAAGTACTGAGCAGCACCAAGAAAGTTTTGCTGTTTTTTCAAAAACAAAATGTGCTTGAGAATCAGAATATAGTCAGTCTGCACAGGAACCCCTTAAAGCTTCACCCCCCAAACCAATTTATATTAAACAAGCAGATTTTGCGCTGGTTTTAAAGGAGAAAACAGATTAGTATTTATATAATAATTTTCATAAACTTATGATGTCACAAATCAGTTCATAGTCAATTAACTCTTGAAGTGTTTTCGCTGTAATGCAGAAAATGCAGGAACCAGTTTGTGCAGAAGGCAGCCCTGCAAACACTACTGAGCTAGTGAAAAGATAATGTGTTTTATTGATGATGGCCAAGTGATAAACCTGATCCATTCATCCTGGATTTCTGTGATGCAGAAGCTGTTCATTGATGACAGACATTTTAAACAGCTGATAGGTCAGTTGCTCTTCCTCTCTCTACAGTCGCTGCTTAATTAGTTGATGTGGAGTCCAGAAGTGGACACATTAGTCCAGGTGAGGCTGAAAAATATTTTTATTGAAGCTATAATCTTGATTTCTTATTTATTAACCAGTGTTCTGTTCAGTGAACAATTCTAAAATAAATTATAAATTTATCCTTCAGTCAAAATTAATGCCTTAAAAAGTTCTATTACTAAGTAGAGCAGCTCAGATTGCCCATCACTGACCAGTACCAACTTTGGAGGAATTATCTATAGCAAACCTGAAGCCTGTTGAATAAGAAGGGACAGGGCAACATGGATGTAAAGTTGCCTGAATGTCAGGAAATACAGCATAATGGTGAGCCAGTAGACATTATCTATTTGGATTTTCAGAAGGCCTTTTACAATGTGCCACACAGGAAGCTGCTAAATAAGATAAGAGCACGTGGTTTTAGGGACAAGGTACTGACATTGATAGAGGATTGGCTGACTGGCAGAAGGCAGGGATTGGGGATAAGGGGGTTAAGATAGTAGCTGGCAACTAGTGGAGTTCCACAGGGTCCATGTTGGGACATCAACTATTCACGTTATGCGTTAACAATCTGGACAAAGGAGCTGAGGGCATTGTTACTAAGTTTGCAGATGACACAAAGATAGATGGAGGGACAGGCGGTGTTGAGGAACCAGGGACTCTGGAGAAGGACTTGGACAGGCTAGGAGGGTGGGCAAAGTGGCAGATGGAATACAATGTGGTAAAGTGTGAGGTTATGCACTTTCGTAAGAAGAATGGAGGTGCAGACTATTTTCTAAATGGGGAAAGGCTTCGAAAATCCGAAGCACGAAGGCACTCTGAAGTCCTAGTTCAAGATTCTCTTAAGATTGACATGTAAGTTCAGTTGGCAGTTAGGAAGGCAAATGTTAGTATTCATTTCTAGAGGACAAGAATGCAAGAGCAGATATGTACGGCTGAGGTTGTACAAGCCTCTGGTCAGACTGTATTTGAAAACATTATGCACAGTTTAGGCCCTAGATCTAAGGAAGGATGAGCTGGAATTGGAGGGGGTCCAGAGCAGGTTTACAATAATGATCCTGGAGTGAAGGGCTTTTCATACGAGGAGCGGTTGAGGACTCTGGGTCTGTACTCGATGGAGTTTAGAAGGAGGAGGGGGGTTCTGATTGAAACTTACAGAATACTGAGAGGCCTGGATAGATTGGTCATGGAGAAGACGTTTCCACTGTTAAGTGAGACTAGGACCTGAGGGCACAGCCTCAGAGTGAAGGGATAACACTCTATAATGGAGATGAGGAAGAATTTCTTCAGCCAGAGGGTGGTGATTCTGTGGAACTCATTGAGTGTAATTAAGACAGGCATAGATTTTTGATCAGTAAGGGGATCAAGGGTTACGAGGAGAAGGCACGAGAACGGTGTTCAAAACTTTTATTTTATTCATTAATGGGATGAGGGTGACGCTGGCTAGGCAGCATTTATTGCCTATCCCTAATTGCCCAGAAGGCAGTTATGAGTCAACCACTTTGCTGTGGGTCTGGAGTGACATCTAGGCCAGACCAGGTAAGAATGGCAGTTTCCTTCCCTAAAGGGCATTAGTGAACCAGATGGGTTTTTCCCGACAATCAACAATGGATTCATGGTCATCATTAGATTTTTAATTCCAGATATTTTTATTGAATTCAAATTTCGCCACCTGCTGTGGCAGGATTCGAACCCAGGTCTGGATTAACAGATCTCTGGATTAACAGTCCTGTGATAATGCCACTAGGCCATCGCCTCCACCATGCTTGAATGGCAGAGCAGACTCAATGGCCTTATTTTTCTACTATCTCTTATGATAATATGGTGAATAGTTGTTTTTTTACAACTGGGGGTATACTGTGGAGTTTCAAGGTTCTGAATGCAGACCAACGCTTTTCTTGCTCTATGCTAGTGACTGAGACCTGGACACACAGGACACAGTTTCAAAACCTGCAAATGATACAAAATGATACAAAGAAGTATTGTGCACTGTGAGAAGAATATTATAGACTTCATGAAACTATAGACAGATGGAATGGATTATCATGTGGCAAATGAAATTTAATACTGAAAGTTGTACAGTTTGGTAGAAAACGATAAGAGGTAACATAAAATAATAGATACAGCTCTGATGGAGAAACAGAATCATGCATGTCTGTGCGAGATGGCACAGCAAGTTGAGAAGGTTTTATAAGTGGGTTTTATAAGTAGAGACATAAAGTAAGAAACCAAGGATGCTCTGATAACTTTAATAAAAGTGTTGTTCAGCCTCAATTGGACTATTTTGTCCACATTTTGTAACTACTTTCACATCCCTATAGAGGAGATTTGATAGCAACATTTAAAATCGGGCTCCGGGTGATATAGGTAGGGAGAAACAGATCCCACTGGTGGAAAGATAGAGAACGAGGGGGCACAGAGTATAATTTGTAAAACAAGCAATGACGCCATGAGTAAAACCATTTTTCACAAAGCGAATGATTAGAATCTGGAATACAACACCTTTTAATATTGTGGAGGAAAGTTCAATCCAGGCATAGAGTCATACGGCATGAAAACTGGCCCTTCGGTCCAACTAGTCCCATTTGCCTGCATTTGGCCCATATCCCTCTAAACCTTTCCTATTCATGTACTTGTCCAAATGTCTTTTAAATGTTGTAATTGTACCTGGCTCGACACTTCCTCTGGCAGCTTGTCCCATACACGCACCACCCTCTGATGGAAAAGCTGCCCCTCAGGCCCCTTTTAAATCTTTTCCTTCTCACCTTAAACCTATGCCCTCTGGTTTTGGACTCCCCTATGCTGGGGAAAATACCTTAGTTATTCACCTTATCTATGATCTCCTTTGTGCTTATCATTCTTTGTTTCTAAGTACATATCCATTTATCTTTCAAAAGTTAATTTTCAGTCTGATGGCAGCCACTTTTTGGGCTTTGTCATGGCTTTGTCATGACAATAATAGCAGGAACCATTAACCAGGGATTGTTGCACTTGAATTATAATTGAAGGTAACAGGAATTATCACAATTGTAGGGGATGCAGAACAGTATGAATCCTTGGATCACATGTGCCTAACAGGTGATCATTGGGATTTCACAAAGGTGCTGTTCATGAGTACAATACAAACACATGACAGTTGTTAGATATGCCACCTAAACCTTTGGGACAGAATAAACAAATTGATGTAAATGTTCAAAAAGTTCAAACTCTTTCCCTTGTTCTTTTTAATCTATTCTAAGAAGTACACTCTATATTGTAACTAACTTCTCATTTTTGTATTTATGGTTGATTGGTGCCACAAAAGCACTCTTGACAAAGTGATATCTTCCATTTAAGGTAAATAGTGGAACTAGGTTATAAAAAAAATTAACTGCTGCATATTTGAAATAAATATTTTCTTTAAAATAGTCAGAATGAAAGGGAAGAATTCGAGGGAGAATTCAAGCAAAAGTATGAACGGGAGAGGATCATGCTGAGTGAAGACAACAAGAAGTTATCAACTGAACTTGATAAGGTGAGGCTGCCCTGGGGTTCTGGGATTTATTGTATCCATGTGGTGACTGTTTCACAAAGCATGAATTACTGAAGGCCCTTGAGCTTTGGATAGAAAGGCTTTGTCACTCCCCACTTTGAATATTTCTAGTGAGTGGTCTGGGACCCCAGCTAATCTTTTTTCTTACATTTTCATGTTGTATAATATTTTGAATGTGAAATAATTGGTCCTTTGAGGCTGATTTTCATTTATGTAATGCAATTCAGACGAAAACATCATTCTTCACAAAAGTGTCCTTTGAGATGTCAGTCTGAGGAAATTGATGCACACAGAATGTGAATGCCCTATTATTGTTTCCATTCTCTCTCCGTCTAAGCTCAAAAGGATTGTTTATCTATTAAATGTTAAAGTCAATCCTTAGAAGATTAATCCTGAGCACACATTCAGGTATCAAAGGGTTATTGAGAAATTAGAACTGTTCCTTTAGCATGTTAAATGTAATTTAGGTAATGCTAATCTTGTATGTGAATTGCATATGAATTCATGAAACTTTAAAAAATAACCCTTCACTTCAGATGATTTCATAATTAGAATTTAAAATTCTATAATCTTGAGCTTAATGATTTAATCAGAGATGACGATCATTTTAATTTGCTGCCCAGAAGCAGTATACGGATTCAGTCCAACATCAAGTGCATCTCAGAAATGCAGTGAGAGTCCAAATACATTGCATGTAACAGGTTCTAGAAGGACATATTTGGGAATGTACTGCAGAAGGAAAATCACTTGAACTTGAGCACATAGTTGGTGCTTATATTGCAGTACCTAGGGATGACTGTAACAATGTAGATTCCATCCTTCAAATTGCTGATGCCTCACTCTCCTATTATAGATGGTGCATGGAGAGTAGAATGCCTCCTCTTGACCCTATTCATCATTCCTCCAAAACATGTTTTAGTCAGCTACATAAAAATACATTTTTTTAATTACCTATTCCTGAAACGTGGGTAACACATCATGGCTTTACTGCTCATCCCTAGTTGGCATGAGGTTATTCAGATAAAGTATATAATCTGGTTAAGGAGTCACACATGGGCTATCCAAGTCATGACATTTTGTGGTTTGCACCTTTTGTTGGAACTCATGATTATTCTGTTGAAGGGCACACATTGGATCCTTACACTTCTTTACCGGTACTGACTGATCTATGTAATTTTAGAATTTGCTGTTTTTATTCATCATGGATCAATTTTGAGAAAAGACAAGAGGTCGACATCCCCAGTATTATGCTTCCGTTCCTGTGAATGTTATCTTACCTTAGCTTCTCCCTTTGAATTTTCTCAAATGAATAACAACGTTCATTAATATAGCACCTTTACCTTTAAATATGTCCCAAAATGCTTCACAGCATTATCAAAACTTAACGCTGAGCCAGATAAAGAGATATTAAGATGGAGAGATTTTAAGGACTACCTTTAAATGAGAGGGGGAAAGCAGAGAGGGTTAGGGGCGGAAAGCTTATAGCTTTCACTGCCACTGGTAGAGCATTTAAAATCAGGAACACTGGAGGAGTGCAGACATATCTGAGGTTTGTTAGGCTGGAGAAGGTTACAGAGATAGGGAGGGGTAAGGATGGCTTTGAAAACAAGGGGGAGAATATTAAAATCAATATGATGTTTAACCACAAGAGAGGGTAGCTTATTGAGCCTATATATAATAGAATGGCAATGAGTATTTGTTTGAACAAAGTCAGCAGATTGTGGGTGACTTCAGGTTTATGGAGGGTGAATGAGCATTTTCACACAAGCAGTTGGGAGAGAACACATCCTGAGTGAGACAAAGCCAGCGTGAGTAAATATTTCTGGGCATTTGAAGCACAGTGGGAATTTGATGTGGAGGGGAAGAGATGCCTTTTGCTTTTCTTTCTGTGATTTGTAAGGGCTATACTTTATAGTAGTGAGGGCTAGGGACTAAGGGCCCGAGAGTAATTGCTAGTATTTGATACTAAACATTTACTAAAAGATTTAATTTAAAGGGGTAATTCATAGAAGAGAAGCTTAAAGCCTTGATGTGCTCTTCCTGCTCTTTGTGGGAACAAGGGAATATTTCCATTGCCCAGAGCCAGCATGTATGCAGGATGTGTCTCCAGTTTCATCTCCTGGAAACCTGGATTCCTGGGTTAGGGAGCTGAAGCAGCGCTGGGGACACTGTGGATCATCCACAAAGCTGAGAATATCATTGATAGCATGTACAGGGAGGTGGTCGCACTGCAAGCTAAGACTCCACAGGCAGGAAGCATTTAGGTGACCACCAAGCAGAGCAGTGCAGGAACCCCCTGTGGCTGTTCCCCCAGCAAAGCAGATAGACTGCTCTGGGTGCTCTGGTTTAGGAGAATGGCTTCTCAGGGAATGGCAGCAACAACGAAATTCTTTGTGCACCACAGATGGCTCTGCTGCACAGGGGGGGAATAAAATGTGTGAGAATGCAGTAGGTACAGCGGATGCAATTATACGGTGAATAGACAGGCATTTTTCTGGCTGCAAATGAGACTCCAGGGTGGAATGTTATCTGTCTGCTGCTAGGGACAAGGATATGTCAAAGCAATTACAGAACATTCTGGGGTTGTGGGGTTATGGGGAGACAAGTGGTGAACAGCCAACGGTTGTACACATTGGTACAAATGAGATTGGTTTAAAAACGTGGGATGAGGTCCTAAAAGCAGTACATGGAGAGTTAGGAAGTAATTTGAAAAGTAGGACCTCAAAGGTACTAATCTCAAGATTATTACCAATGTCATGTGTAGAGTAAGACTAAATCATGAATAAATCATGAGGATCGAATTGAGTAATGTACAAACTGATTAGTAACAACTTCTGCTTTTGGTGTCATGCAGCTCACTATCATGTTTGAGAAGCTAAGTGCAAGCAACAAACAGATGGAGGAAGAGTTACGTGACTTAGCAGAGAAGAAGGAGTCTGTGGCACATTGGGAGGCCCAAATCACGGAAATCATCCAGTGGTTAGTCCTTTTAACTGATTGTTAGCTATGTACAGTTTAAAATATGCTGCTTAAGAATGTAGGAGAAAAACACTATTCTTAGTTTTTTTAAGAATGCTATTATTCTGGAATTCTATTATCAGCAAAAACAGTTTTGCAGATATAATGTAAATAAAAAGGCAAATGTCTATATAGTTCATTACACTCAGGACTCCCGCTTATTGGTCACTCTCAGGGACTCCGCTGTCGTAGGTCGCAAAGCATTAGATAGGGACTTTCAAGAACTTGAACCCAGTTAGGCTAAAGTAACATGGATACACACTCAAGGATGGTGGGTGATTTGAAGGTACAACCAGGGTGATGGTTTTCCCTGAAACTGCTGCTCTGGAACTTCTGTGTGTTAAAGCTTGGATATGTAGGCAATGAAGAATAGGCTCCCAAGCCAGATTTACAGACTTAAGCTTTCAAATCAAGACACACAGTCCATGTTGTACACCTTCATTCAGCAAACACACTCAGCTTGCTCATACATTTGTGGATATTTTACTAATAACCTGTTCAGAGATATAATGACACACTTCTGTAGCAGGTGGGACTTGACCCTGAGCATCCTGGCTCAGACGTAAGGACACTGCAACTGTACCAAGAGAGCCCCTACAACTAATATTATTCATGTTAACCAACAAACAGCAACATGCTTGTCATATGAGGATACTAAAGTAAAGTGACTTTTTCTGCCTGCTTTCAAAGCGGGCACTTTCCATGCCTCGTGCCACTACACTACAAAAAAACACTGCTCCAAATATGTTACAGAGATAGTAGGAACTGCCGATGCTGGAGAATCTGATATAACAAGGTGTAGAGCTGGATGAACACAGCAGGCCAAGCAGCATCATAGGAGCAGGAAAGCTGACGTTTCCGGTCGAGACCCTTCTTCAGAAATGGGGGAGGGGAAGGGGATCCTGAAATAAATAGGGAGAGAGGGGGAAGCGGATACAAGATGGATGAAGGAAAAGGTAAGTGGAGAGGAGACAGACAGGTCAAAGAGGCGGGGTTGGAGCCAGTAAAGGTGAGTGTAGGCGGGGAGTTAGGGAGCAGATAGGTCAGTCCAGGCAGGACGGACAGGTCAAGGAGGCGGGATGAGGCTGGGATCAGATTGCAGATGGCAGAAGTGTCGGAGGATGGTGCATTGGATCCGGAGGTTGGTGGGGTGGTACGTGAGGACGAGGGGGATTCTCACTTCCGCTATCTGCAATCTGACCCCACTACCAAAGACATTTTTCCCTCCCCACCCTTATCTGCTTTCCGGAGGGACCACTCTCTCCGTGACTCCCTTGTCCACTCCACACTCCCCACCGCCCCCGGCACTTCTCCCTGCAACCGCAGGAAGTGCTATACCTGCCCCTACACCTCCCCCCTCACCCCCATCCCAGGCCCCAAGAAGACCTTCCACATCAAGCAGATGCTCACCTGCGCATCTGCTAATGTGGTATACTGTATCTGCTGTTCCCGATGTGGCCTCCTTTACATCGGGGAAACCAAGCGGAGACTTGGGGAATGCTTTGCGGAACACTCCCTGGACTGACCTATCCCCTCCCTAACTCCCCACCTACACTCACCTTTACTGGCTCCATCCCCGCCTCTTTGACCTGTCTGTCTCCTCTCCACCTATTTTTTCCTTCATCCATCTTCTATCCGCCTCCCCCTCTCTCCCTTTTTATTTCAGAATCCCCTTCCCCTCCCTCATTTCTGAAGAAGGGTGTAGACCGGAAACGTCAGCTTTCCTGCTCCTCTGATGCTGCTTGGCCTGCTGTGTTCATCCAGCTCTACACCTTGTTATATCTGCTGCAAATATGTGTTTTTGTTTATTTAACCTATTTTTCTAATCAGCCAGTTCAGAGACGTTATTACACACTTCCGGAGCAGGTGGGACTCTCGGTCCAGGAGTAGGGAATCTGCCTTTGCACCACAAGAGCGCTCTGCTATGTATGCGATATTTTCTAATCAACCTGCTGAGAGATGTTTATGTTACACCTCTGAAGCAGATGGGACTTGAACTTGGACCTTCTGGCTCAGAGGTAGTGACAATACCACTGTGCCACAAGAACCCTCCCTCCCCTGTATACGTGAGCATCGCCAAATAATGCCCATTACTTGAGTACAAATGAGCTCTAATTGCTGTATAATTAACAACCTTATAATCGAGGCCACAGTGCTGGGAGGTGGAGGTGCTTTTGTGGGATGAGTGGCTATTAAGTATGGTAGCAGGGACACCAAGTGAGGAGGAAAAGTGATGAGGGGAGGGGAAGAGGAGAGTAGATGACGTGAGCAGAGGTGGAGAATGGGTGAGAGAGAACATGTGACAGAGTGGGTGAGGGAGTGGAGCAAGTGGAATGGGAGGTGTGGACAGATGAAGTGAGGGGAGAGGATATGGTTAGAGTGAGAGGACAGACGAAGTGGAGGAACTGAGAGAAGAGGGCATGGGGAGGAGCGTGGGATTGGGAGGGGAAGAGGGAGAGTGGGATCTTTGAGGAGACACATTTTCAACTAAAATGCATGTGCACTGAACAGTGATCTGGGACTGGAGGTGCCTCGAACTAGACAGGCTGCTTGGAACATCATGAAAATGTACCAAATTTTAACATGTCAGCTGCCATGGGGCAAAGAATGTAATGCTGGCGGGAGTTTTAGCCCATTGTGTACAAAGAAAATTTAGAAGGAATATTGATCAACTCCAAACCAGCTACATGTCAGTAGATTCACTCTGACATATCGAGAAGCAGTTGAGGCTACTGAATACAGCAAATACTATGGGCCTCAGACAGATTCCTTTCCTCTGTTACATATCTAGCAGTCAGCATTGGAGCAAAAATATACAGGAGACAAACATACTAGTAGGAAATCAAGACAATGCAGATAATAACGCTCTCTCTCTAAGGGATACCTAAGCTGTGTCCTTATTTTTACCTCCTCCTGTCAGAATACAAGCAACTCTGTCAATGCACATCAATTAAATGTATTGAATTTGCCTTAGAATCCCAGCTGAGAAAAGCAAGTGTGGAGATGAGTGACTGAAAGGATTTTTGAAAACAAAAATTACCCACTCAGTGAATTTCAGTTTGATGTTAAAGGAAAGCTCCCTGTTGGTCACGGGCTGCTGATGTTTAAACATTGATCACACTGGCTTGGCCACCACATTACTGCCAGCACTTTCGGAAATAAACACGCTCTTTACTGAAGCACATTTTGTGTACATCTTACTGAAAATAAAGAACCCTTCTGCACAGGGATTATCTTATTGTGGGATTACTGGACTCAATCCAAAAACTAAACAGCCGTCTCAGCAAGTGAAAACAGATGTTAGAATAGTCGCATGTTAGATTGAAGGGGGTGCAGTACAGAACTGTGGGATATTTATCATATTTGAGGTTTTACTTTGAAAAACAATTCTGCAGATTCACTTCTGTATTTCTTCCAAGTGTGATATCCATCTTGTTGCAAATGTTAAAATTAATTCTGATCACCTAAATAAAAAGCTTTTTCAGTCAGCCTTTCACTCTCTAAGAAAGCCCTGAGCCCAGTGCAGAGTTTTGTTGGAGACATGCTGCCTTGAATTCCACCTCCCCATCTCTCCCCTCCATACTTTTGTATTGGAGTGGTTGTTTTAACCTATTAAGGACTTGAAATGTTTGCTTAATTCAAGTAATAACAGCATTTTATATTCCATTATATGATTCTTCCTTTGCATATTGCTGGAACAAGAGACATGTTCAGCTAAGCTTTTTGTCTTATAGAAATATAGGAACTAAAAGGAGGAGTAGGCCATTTGGTTAACTTTCAGTCGTCAAGAAGGTGACAGGAGATGTCATTCATAGTGCTATAAAGTGACACTTCCAAAGAAGAACAAAGGAACTAGGAGCAGGAGTAGGTCGTCCGGCCCTTCGAGCCTGCTCCGCCATTCAGTAAGATCATGGCTGATCTTTTCGTGGACTCAGATCCACTTACCTGCGTTCTCACCGTATCCCTTAATTCCTTTATTGTTCAAAAAAATATCTACCTTGTCTTTAAAAATGTTTACTGAAGTAGCATCAACTACTTCACTGGGCAAGGAATTCCATAGATTAACAACCCTCTGGGGTGAAGAAGTTCCTTCTCAATTCAATCCTAAATCTGCTCCCTCTAATCTTGAGGCTATGCCCTCTTGTCCTAGCTTCACCTGCCAGTGGAAACATCCTCTCTACTTCTATCTTATCTATTCCCTTCATAATTTTATATGTTTCTATAAGATCCCCCCTCAATCTTCTGAATTCCAATGAATATAATCCCAATCTACTCAGTCTCTCCTCATAAGCCAACCCCCTCAACTCCGGAATCAACCTAGTGAACCTCCTTTGCACCCCCTCCAGTGCCAGTACATCCTTTCTCAAGTAAGGAGACCAAAACTGCACACAGTACTCCAGGTGTGGCCTCACCAGCACCTTGTACAGCTGCAACATAATCTCTCTGTTTTTAATCTCAATCCCTTTAGCAATGAAGGACAAAATTCCGTTTGCCTTCCTAATTACTTGTTGTACCTGCAGACCTACCTTCTGTGATTCATGCACAAGGACACCCAGGTCCCTCTGCATAGCAGCATGCTGCAACTTATTACCATTCAAGTAATAATCCTTTTTACTATTACTTCTACCAAAATGTATGACTTCACATTTATTTACATTGTATTCCATCTGCCAGACCTTTGCCCACTCACTCAATGTATCTATGTTCCTCTGCAAAGTTTCACAGTCCTCTGCACACTTTGCTCTGCCACTCATCTTAGTGTCATCTGCAAACTTTGACACCCTACACATGGTCCCCAACTCCAAATCATCTATATAAATTGTAAATAATTGTGGTCCCAACACCGATCCCTGAGGCACACCAGTAGTCACTGACTGCCAGCTAGAATAGCACTCATTTATCCCCACTCTTTGCTTCCTGTTAGTCAACCAATCCTCTATCCATGCTAATACTTTACCCTT